TCTATTATCCAAAGTAACTTAGGTGGGAGTTCTCCTCATATGAAATACTGTCTTCAGTAGTGATCTTATAAAGTTCTGGCATGTGTTGTGTGTTATGAGTATTCCTTATATATTACTCAAAGTAGCCTCATAAACTGGCAGGCAGCCCTCATAATGTGTTTCTGTTTCTGTTTCTGTTTCTGTTTTGTTTTTGTTTTTGGCTCCAAGTGATGTTTGAAACTTTGAGGAGCAGGCCAGGCACAGTGCTCATGCCTGTAATCCGTGGCACTTTGGGAGGCCAAAGGTGAGAGACTTAAACCCAGGAGTTTGAGGCTAGCCTGGCAATATAGGAGACCTGATTCCCATGTAAGACACTTTTAAAACATCAGCTAGGTGTGGGCACATGCACCCTCTGGTCCCACAACAGGAGGCTGAGGGAGGATTGTCAGCCTTGGGAGGTTGAGGCTGCAATGAGCCATGGTTGTGCCACTGTACTCCAGCCAGGTGACAGTGAGACCCCTGTCTCAAAAATAAATAAATAAATAAAAATAAATTTGAGACATTCTATGTAAAACCTGACTTCCTGCTTTTCTTGAACTATTTGATACTCCCAAGGTCCATATCTTACATGTAGGTCAGTCATGGCTGGAGCTGAGTATCAGTGGTCCCATTTAGAAAGGGTCTGGGCTTTCTGAAGTTCATCATCACTGTCACTGCCACTCCTTAGTGCTTATACCTGGCCCGCATCCTCATTTCTGTCATCTGCCTGGCTCTGTAGGCATTTGAGTTTGAAAACCCTGACGTAAAAGTGGGCTGGTGCTTGCTTCCTTTGGGTCAATGGAATTTCATCCAGGCACTGAAACCAGCTCCCAGTTGAGATAACGCTTTGATCATCCCCAAGCTGCTCTGCTGAATAGGCCCATGGCCATTATTGGTAAAGAGAGACAGATGAGGTTCCCCTGACTGCCGCTCAGGTATGTTTTTAGCTGTCAGCAGAAGCTAGCAAGGGGTAGTGTACAATCAGATGTCAGCAATGTCCTTCCAGGACTGAGTTGTTCAACATCTGCTCCTGGAGAGATCTGAGCCTTCTGAAGGCCTGAGCCAAGTAGACATGTTATTCTTTTAAAACAAAGTGGTAGAGCATTTCTTGTCTGGAATGAGCACCAGAAGAAATCTTTGGCCAAAATAAATTGTTGAGGGCTGGAGCGTGCTTATGTTGTAATCCCCAACACTTTGGGAGGCTGAAGCTGAGGATTACCTGAAATAGAGGCTGATATTCAGCCTGAGCAATATGGCAAAACCCTGTCTTCCTAAAAATACAAAAAATTAGCTGGACGTGGTGACAGGTGCCTATCATACAGCTACTTGGGAGGCTGAGGAGGGAGAATTGCTTGAACCTGAAGGTGGAGGTTGCAGTGAGCCGGGTCATGCCACTTCACTCCAGCCTGGCTGTACAGAGCAGGACTCTGTCTCAAAAACTTAAATAAATAAATAAATAAATTGTTGAGGTCTGATGAGTAAGTGGACAAGTTATTTTCCAGCAGACACACAAGAGAAGGAAATTACAGGTTATAGGAGAGGTATTTGGGGAAATATAACTTTGAAATATAGGAAGCTAAGAAGTGATCACATTAGCAGAAATTCTGTCCTCTCACAAAACGATCTGTGGCGAAAAATCTTACTCAGTGAACAGGTGATTCGCCATGCACGACCTGTGTGAAGTGGATCAGGCCATAATTTTTGCACGACGCGCTTCTCAGGCTCCTCCAGTAGAGTACGTCTGTGTTAATTTCCAGACTGCTATGACTAATTGCCACAAATGTGGCAGCTTCAAACACAACAGAAATTAATCCTCCCTTCTAGTTCTGGAAGCCAGAGTTTGAATCAAGATGTCAGCAGGCCATACTTGCTCTGATGCTCTACGGGAGGGTCTGGCTCTTCCAGTGTCTGTACCTGTGCTCATAATTTTATGGTAGCGCTCACTCAAATCTCTGCTCTCCATCCTCACAGCCTTGTCCCTGTGTTCTCATGTCTTCAACCTCTCTTTTTTTTTTTTTTTTGTTTTTTTGTTTTTTGTTTTTTGAGACAGGGTTTCACTCTAGTCTCCTAGACTGAAGTACGGGGAGCAATTCTCGGCTCACTGCAACTCTGCCTCCCACTCAACGGGCAATTTGATCTCCTTTATCTTATAAAGATATTAGTCATTGTGGATTTCGGCTTACCCTAAATCCATGGATAATCTCATTCCTGAGATGTTTAACTTAATTATATCTACCTTATTGTATTTCTATATAAGGTCATATCAAAACAGTCACTAGACGATACTTGAACATATCTTATTTAGGGGCTCAAATTCCATTCCAGTGTGCAAAAACATTCTTCATGCTCCAATGTTTCTCAGGGTATTTGCCCACTGATCTCTCACTGCATCAGAATAATTACTTCTATTGGTACCTTTACTGGAAATACAGACTCTAGAAACATCCTTTAGCTTCTAACCACTCTTTGGGAGGGGCTATAGGAGTCTGCCTTCTTGAACACACTCACCCCAGTGATCCTTTTTTTTTTTTTTTTTTGAGACTTGGCATCGCCCACCCGCCGATGACGCCATTTTCCTGCTCTGTGCAGCTGGGACTACAGGCGCCGCCACTATTTACATTTTTATTTTAGAGATATTTGGCCAGGATGAGATCCGATCTGCTGACCTTTGCATCACCTGCCTCGGCCTAAGGTGCCGGATCAGGCGTGAGCCACCGCGCCCTGCCGCCACTCTTAAGTGATTTTGCTCTGTAAAGTGAGAGCAGGCAGAGCCACCTGTCAAAAGGACACTGAAGCAGAAATTCACACAATTTACCACACAATGTTAACCTTCCCATGCAAACCAACTCACATAGGGAGAGTAATGCCAAGCCCAGGGCAGGTGGCGACGCATGTTTGCTTGTGTATTAAAAACAAATCACGGCGGGCGCGAAGCCTGTAATCCCAGCACTTTGGGAGGCCGAGAGACGGCGGATCGGCGAGGCCAGTAGATCAGACCATCCTGGCTAACACGGTGAAACCCTTCGTCTCAGCCTAAAAATACAAAAAAACTAGCCGGGCGAGGTGGCGGGCACCTGTAGTCCCAGCTACCCGGGAGGCTGAGAGGAGAATGGCGTAACCCGGAGGTGCTTGCAGTGACAGATCTCACTGCACTCCAGCCCAAGGCAGATGGTCTGGTCTCAAAAAAAAAAAAAAGATAGATAGATAGATAGATAGATAGATAGATAGATAGATAGATAGATAATAGATAGATAGAGTCTTGCTATGTTGCCCAGGCTGGGTTTGAACTCCTGGGCTCAAGTGATCCTCCTCCTGCCTTGGCCTCCCAAAGTTTTGGGATTACAGGTGTGAGCCATTGCTCCCAGCCTGAGTTTTTCATTTAATTTAAATTTAAATCGCCACACATGTCTAGTGGCTACCATATTGGACAGCGCAGTTCTAGACCAACATGATTCAGGATCATTCCTGCAGCATCGTGGAGCAAAGAGAAAACTGCCCCAAGCTGGCTCGTAGAAGGCTCAGGCGAAGGTTTCCCAATGCTGGGACAGGGGGTGCGCTCAGCAGCATCACCCCTTATGGTTCTCAATCGCCAGTAGCTCCACTCAGGTTCATTTCTAGGTCAGGGGCGTTTCTTTGTCACAGAAGGAATCATTCAGTTATGGGAGATACAGCAGCCTCCACTCAGGTAGTCCTTGGTTCAAGACAGGCGGCCCTTGACTGACTGTGGTTTCAGTTCCAGCTCCGCCATCAACTCACTCATTAAATAAACTGCATCTCCAGTGTGCCTGCCGCTGGGCTGGATTTTGATGTGACCTGGGCAAGCAACTCCCTGAATTTCAGTTTCTCATATATTATATGAATTAGCTAAGATGGTTCATTTAATCATTCATTCAACACATCCATCACCATGTGGTAGGTGTTAGATATTTATCTCATACGTGACTATGCATCAGAGACTTTGCTAAGGTTTAGGTAAAATACAAGTCCCAGATATGGAGCAAGTCCCAACCACTGTACATACCTGAATGTGTAATTATGTCAGTGTGAGAGGTGCCACAGTAAATGCCATCGAGTCTTGTATTAGTCCATTCTCACACAAAGAACTACCTAGCTAGGTGCGATGGCTCACACCTGTAATCCCAGCACTTTGGGAGGTTAAGGCAGGCGGATCACTTGAGGTCAGGAGTTCGATACCAGCCTGGCCAACATGGTGAAACCCTGTCTCTACTAAAAAATACAGAAATTAGCCAGGTGTGGTGGCACACACCTGTAATCCCGGCTACTCGGGAGGCTGAGGCAGGAGAATCACTTGAACCCGGGAGGTGGAGGTTGCAGTGACCCGAGATGTGCCACTGCACTCCAGCCTGGGTGACAGAGTGAGACTCCATCTCAAAAAAAAAAAAAAAGACCTAAAAAAAAAAAAAAAACCTACCTTTTTTTTTCGGTAAGAGACCAAATACTTTATGAAAAAAGAGGTTTAATTGACTCACAGTTCCACAGGCTTAATAGGAAGCCTCAGGAGACTCACAATCACGGCAGAAGGCAAAGGGGAAGCAAACACATCTTACCATGATGGAGCAGGAGGGGGGCTGCGGGGGATGTGCCGCGCACTTCAGATCAGATCTCGTGAGAGCCCACTCACTATCAGGAGAACAGCAAGGAGGAAGTCCGGCCCCATGATTCAGTCACCTCCCACCAGGCCCCTCCTCCAGCACATGGGGATTACAATTCGAGATGAGATTTGGGTGGGGACACAGAGAAAAACCATATCAGATCTCAAGAAGGGAGAACTTCTTCTTGGAGGAGCTGGAGGGGCTTTGTGGAGAGTTTCAGAATGCTTTGCCCACTAGGTTTGCTGTATCCATTTCTCTTCACGCATCCCAAAGACCAACCAAGAAACCAGAAACTTCTGGTCCCACTGGCCCATGGGCTCCCTTGGTCCCCACCGTAAGTAATGGCCATTTTGCATGTCTCTCTCCCAGGCCTGCTCTCTTGAACAGTGCAGAAAACTTCACCGTGCTCATCAAAAACAATATCGACTTCCCCGGCCACAACTACACCACGTAAGTGCCCAGCCTGCCTCGCTGTCTTAGTTATCTACTGCTGCGTAATAAATTATCCCAAACCTCAGAAGCCTGAAACAAGAAATGCCTATTGTCTCCCATGGTCTCTGTGGGTCAGGAATCTGGGAATGACTTTGCTGTGTGGGTCTCGCTCAAGGTCTGTCAGGTTGTAGCCAAGCTGTCAACCAGTGCTGCAGTCATTTCTAGGCTTGACTGGAGCTGGAGAACCCTTTTCCAAGCTCTCACACAGTGGCTGGTGGGAGGGCTCAGTTCCTCGCCCTAGGACCACTTGAGTATCCTTGGTATACGGTGGCTGGCTTCTCCCAGAGCAAGTGACCCAAGAGAGATAGAGCAAGCAACCGAGAGTATAACCGAGATGCAACCAAGAGTCTAACCAAGAAGGAACCAAGAGTATAACCAAGAAGGAAGCCACAGTCCTTGGGAGCAACACTTCTGCCATATGCCATTGGTGACACACAGATCAACCCTGGTCCAATGTGAGAGGCCACTGCCCAGGGGTCCCAGGAGGCAGGGATCGTTTGGGGCTTTCATGGAACCTCTCCACCACACTGGCTCACTCCTGGGAAAGAGACAGATCTATTTTCACTCGAGATGTTTGTTTGTTTGCTTTTAATTATGCACAGGAGAAACATCTTGCCTGGTTTAAACATCACTTGTACCTTCCACAAGACTCAGAATCCACAGTGTCCCATTTTCCGACTAGGAGACATCTTCCGAGAAACAGGCGATAATTTTTCAGATGTGGCAATTCAGGTTGGTGGTGCTTTGTACGCTGGGATGTGGGGCTATGTGTCTGGGGATGGAGGATGTCAAACAGCCAAGAGGCCGGGCCACTGGGTCTTCATAATGTGGCTCACATTTACTGAGCATTTAGTAAATTCACCCACTGTGCTAAGGGCTTTACCTACGCTACCTCATCAAATCCCAAAACAATCTTATGAGTGAGAGCTACTTGGTGTATTCCTTTCCTATGGCTGCCGTAACAAGTTACCAAAGCTTACCAGCTTAAAACAACACATATTTGCTTATGTTGCCAGAGATCAGAAGTTGGAGACGATTTTCCCTGAGCCAGGGCCGTGCTCCCTCCAGGGCTTTAGGGGAGAATCCAGTTCCTCGGCTTTTCCACCTTCTGGAGCTGCATTCCTTGCATTTCTTCAAAGCCAGCAGCATGGAATCTTGCCTCAGTGGCCACTTTCACTCCCTATCCTGTGTCCAATCTCTCTCTGCCTCTGTCTTATAAAGAGAGGGGGCATTTACAAGAGGGGGCATTTAAGGACCAGCTGGATAATCCAGGATCATCTCCCATCTCAAAATCCTTCATTTAGGATGGCCGCGGTGGCTCATGCCTGTAATCCCAGCACTTTGGGAGGCTGAGGTGGGCAGATCACCTGAGGTCAGGAGTTCAACACCAGCCTGGCCAACATGGTGAAACCCCATCTCTACTAAAGATACAAAAAAAATAGCCAGGCATGGTGGTGGGTGCCTGTAATCCCAGCTACTCGGGAGGTTGAGACAGTAGAATCGCTTGAACCTGGGAGGCGGAGGTTGCAGTGAGCTGAGATCATGCCATTGCCCTCCAGCTTGGGTGACTAAAGCGAGACTCCATCTCAAAAAAAAAAAAAATCCTTCATGTAATTGCATCTGCAAAGAGCTTTCCCTAGGGGAGTACTAGGAGGTAAAGCAGAAAATAAATTTGATAGAGTACCCTGAATTCCAGTCTAATAAGTTTGGACTTGATCTTTAATGGGGGTGTGGGGGGCATCAAAGGTGTCTGAGTACAGGAGTGGTCTGTTGAAATTTATATTTTAGGACACTGAGTTTAACAGTGGTGTGCCCCAGACGGGGGTAGGGAGAGTGAGGAGATGCGTTTGTGGCCGCCACAATAACACTTGTGCAAGTTAGATGGGGTTGTACACATGGTTCTTCAATCAGCATTTTTCCTCTAAAAATCTTAAGCAATCATGGCTATGCAGGGAGATGTCTGGCGGTTGCATAACTCACACCCAGCAGCCACAGAGACTGTCTCTTGTTGATCCTTTAGGGCGGAATAATGGGCATTGAGATCTACTGGGACTGCAACCTAGACCGTTGGTTCCATCACTGCCGTCCCAAATACAGTTTCCGCCGCCTTGACGACAAGACCACCAACGTGTCCTTGTACCCTGGCTACAACTTCAGGTAACTCCAAGGCCCCAGGTCAAACTTACCCAGTGGCTGAATCTCATTCCCAGCAATTGGTGAGACTAATTTTGGTTTCCAAGGCAACAAGATGAATGAAAAAAGACTTTCTCTAAGAGCTAGGCGATAACTGAATATTTTCCATAATTTTTAAAAATTCTCAAAGAGATGCACACTGTTTATTTTTTATTTAGTTATTTTTTTGAAATGGAGTCTTGCTCTGTCACCCAGGCTGGAGTGCAATGGCGCCATCTCGGTCACTGCAAACTTCCACCTCCCAGGTTCAAGCGACTCTCCTGCATCAGCCTTCCAAGTAGCTGAGATTACAGGCAGATGCACACTCTTTATAAAACAAAACTACTGGGGAACAGAAAAGCATAGAGGGGGATCAAAATCACCCGTCATTCCCCTACCCTGAAATAATCGATGATAACCCTCAGGGGAATTTTCCTCATCTGCACCAATTATTTCATACAGCTCTATGAAATCATAGCATGCATACATATATATATATATATGTATGTATGTATGTATAGTGGTATTCTGTGGGGTTCTTCATACCCCAGTCACTCAAAATTCTTTGTAACCATCACATTAATGATCATAACATTCCATTTTGTAGGTGAACAAATAACAAAATAACAACTGCTACAATTCAGGGAGTGTTTTCTTTTTTTGTTTTTTGTTTTTTTTGTTGTTTGTTTGTTTAGATGGAGTTGAGTGCAGTAGCACGATCTCAGCTCACTGCAACCTGTGCCTCCTGGGTTCAAGCGATCCTCCTGCCTCCCAAGTATCTGGGACCACAGGCATGTGCCACCACACCCAGCTAATTTTTGTATATTCAGTAGAGGCGGGGTTTCACTATGTTGGCCAGTCTGGTCTCGAACTCTTGACCTCAAGTCATCTGCCCACCTCAGCTTCCCAAAGTGCTAGGATTACAGGCATGAGCCACTGCGCCTGGCCCAAGGAGGGTTTTCTATATACCAAGCACTCCCTGTCACCATCCCTAAAGTCTCCCAACAACCCTGGAAGAAAGATATTATTGTTTCTGGAAGATGATTTGCCCAAGACCCACAGCTGATAATACATGCTGCATAATTCTAACCCTCGTCACTCTGACCCCACACTCACACTCCATCCCTTCCTTCCCATCTCATGATTTTCTCGCCCATGCCTCCATGATTGAATATTTGAGTTGCTTCCAGTTTTTCTATTACAGATAACCACAGTGTGTATCTTTGCACATAAACTTTTGTTTGAATTCCAGTTACTTCCTTAGGATAAATTTTTAGACTTATTAAATCAAAGGTTGTGAACATTTTATCATATGCTTTCAGATTTTTAAAAATATCTATGGTTATAATGTTTTGTTTTGTTTCTGAGACAGAGTCTCACTCTGTCACCCAGGTTGGAGTGGACTTGGTGCGATTATAGCTCACTGCAACCTCTGCCTCCCAGGCTCAAGCGATCCTCCCACCTCAGCCTCCTGAGTAGCTAGGACTACAGGTGCACGCCACCATGCCCAGCTAATTTTTAAAATTTTTTTGTAGAGACGGAGTCTCATTATATTGCCCAGGCTGGTCTCAAACTCCTAGCTCAAGCAATCCACCTGCCTCGGCCTCCTAAAGTGTTAGGATTGCAGGTGTGAGCCACTGCACCTGGCCTATACTTTTCATTTCTAGGATTTTTATTTGGTTCTTTTTCAAAGTCATCTATTATTGTTCCAGTGAGTCCCATTCTTACCTTAAGGATCCTACTACTTCTGTCCATTCTATTATATCATTCCTTTCATACCGATCTATTATCCAAAGTAACTTAGGTGGGAGTTCTCCTCATGGGCTTTGAAATACTGTCTTCAGTAGAAAAGATCTTATGCAAAGTTCTGCATGTGTTGTGTGTTATGGAGGTATTCCTTATATATTACTCAAAGTAGCCTCATAAACTGGCAGGCAGCCCCTTAAATGTGTTTCTGTTTCTGTTTCTGTTTCTGTTTTGTTTTGTTTTTTGGCCTGCATGATGTTTTAAAACTTGAGACAGGCCAGGTACAGTGGCTCATGCCTGTAATCCCAGCACTTTGGGAGGCCAAGGTGGGAGGATCACTTAAACCCAGGAGTTTGAGGCTAGCCTGGGCAACATAGGGAGACCTGATCTCTACAAATAATAATTTTTAAAACATCAGCTAGGTGTGGGCACATGCACCTCTGGTCCCAGCTACTCAGGAGGCTGAGGCGGGAGGATTGTTTGTACCTGGGAGGTTGAGGCTGCAATGAGCCATGGTTGTGCCACTGCACTCCAGCTTGGGTGACACAGTGAGACCCTGTCTCAAAAATAAATAAATAAATAAAAAATAAAATTTGAGACATTCTATGTAAAACCTTGGACTTCCTGCTTTTCTTGAAAAATTAAACTATTTGACACCCCAAGGTCCATATCTTACATGGTGGCTGCGGGCTGGAGCTGAGTATCAGTGGTCCTATTTAGAAAGGGTCTGGGCTTTCTGGTTCATCACTGTCACTGCCACTCCTTAGTGCTTATACCTGGCCCGCATCCTCATTTCTGTCATCTGCCTGGCCCCTGTAGGCATTTGAGTTTGAAACTCTTGACGTAAAAGTGGGCTGGTGCTTTTTGCTTCCTTTGGGTCAATGGAATTTCATCCAGGGCACTGAAACCAGCTCCCAGTTGAGATAACTTTTTGATCATCCCCTGCTGCTCTGCTGAATAGGCCCATGGCCATTATTAAGAAGAGAGGACAGGATGAGTGTTCCCCTGACTGCCATTCCAGGGTATGTTTTTAGCTGTCAGCAGAAGCGTGCAGGGCAGTGTACAATCAGATGTCAGCAAATGTCCTTCCAGTGACTGAGTCGAGCCCAAGAACATCTGCTCCTGGAGAGATCTGAGCCTTCTGAAGGCCTGAGCCAGTTATGATGTTAATATTCTTTTAGAACAAAGTGGTAGAGCATTTCTTGTCTGGAATGAGCACCAGAAGAAATCTTTGGCCAAAAATAAATTGTTGAGGGCTGGGAGCGGTGGCTTATGCCTGTAATCCCAACACTTTGGGAGGCTGAAGCTGGAGGATTACCTGAGGTCAGGAGTTTGAGACCAGCCTGGCCAACATGGCAAAACCCTGTCTCTCCTAAAAATACAAAAATTAGCTGGACGTGGTGACAGGTGCCTATCATACAGCTACTTGGGAGGCTGAGGCAGGGAGAATTGCTTGAACCTGGAAGGTGGAGGTTGCAGTGAGCCGGGGTCATGCCACTTCACTCCAGCCTGGGCGACAGAGCGAGACTCTGTCTCAAAAAAACTTAAATAAATAAATAAATAAATTGTTGAGGTCTGATGAGTAAGTGGACAAGTTATTTTCCAGCAGACACACAAGAGAAGGAAATTACAGGTTATAGGAGGTATTTCAGAAAATATAACTTTCTAAAACATAGGAAGCTGAAGAAGTTGATCACATTACAGAATTCTGTCCCTTACAAAACGATCCGTGGCGAAATGTCCTTACTCAGTGAACAGGTGATTCCGCTCATGCACGACCTGTGTGAAGTGGATCAGGCCACATAGAATGCACGACGCGCTTCTCAGGCCCAGCAGGAGTACGTGTCTGTGTTAATTTCCTGTGACTGCTATGACTAATTGCCACAAATGTGGCAGCTTCAAACAACAGAAATTAATCCTCTTCTAGTTCTGGAAGCCAGAAGTTTGGAATCAAGATGTCAGCAGGGCCACACAGAGCTCTGATGCTCTACGGGAGGGTCCTTTCTTGCCTCTTCCAGTGTCTGGTGGCTCCAGGCCTTTCATAACTTTATGGCGGCGTCACTCAAATCTCTGCCTCCATCCTCACAGGGCCTTGTCCCCTGTGTCTCTATGTCTTCAATCTCTCTCTCTCTCTTTTTTTTTTTGTTTTTTTGTTTTTTTGTTTTTTGTTTTTTGAGACAGGGTTTCACTCTAGTCTCCTAGACTGAAGTGCAATGGCATAATTTCGGCTCACTGCAACCTCTGCCTCCTGGGCTCAAGCAATTTGATCTCTCCTTTATCTTATAAAGATACTAGTCATTGGATTTCGGGCTTACCCTAAATCCAGGATAATCTCATCTTGAGATGTTTAACTTAATTATATCTACCTGCAAACATTGTATTTCTATATAAGGTCATATCACAGCCACTAGGGATTAGATACTTGAACATATCTTATTTAGGGGGCTCAACCCATTCCAGTGTGCAAAAAACATTCTTCTTCAAGGCCCAATGTTTCTCAGGGCATTGCCCACTGACTACCTGCATCAGAATAATTACTTGGTACCTTTACTGGAAATACAGACTCCTAGAAACATCTCAGAGCTTCTGCAACCACTCTTTGGGGGAGGGGCTTAGGAGTCTGCCTTTGAACACACTCACCCCGAGTGATCCTTTTTTTTTTTTTTTTTTTTTTTTTTTTTTTTTTTTGAGACGGAGTCTTGCTCTGTCACCCAGGCTGGAGTGTAGTGGCGATCTTGGTTCACTGCAAGCTCTGCCTCCGGGTTCAACGCAGCCATTCTCCTGCCTCAGCCTCCCGAGTAGCTGGGACTACAGGCGCCGCCACCACGCCTGGCTAATTTTTGTATTTTTAGTAGAGATGGGGGCCATTCTCCTGCCTCAGCCTCCCCAGTAGCTGGGACTACAGGCGCCGCCACCACGCCTGGCTAATTTTTTGTATTTTTAGTAGAGATGGGGTTTCACCATGTTAGCCAGGATGGTCTCGATCTGCTGACCTTGTGATCACCTGCCTCGGCCTAAGGTGCCGGGATTACAGGCGTGAGCCACCGCGCCCGGCCGTCACCTTAAGTGATTCTTGCCTTCAGTTTAACAGCCACCATAACAAGACACTGGAAGCAGAAATTCACACACTTACTACACAATGTAAACCTTCCCAGGCAAACCAACTCACATAGGGAGATAATGCCAAGCCCAGGGCAGGCAGTGGCGACGCATGCTTGCTTGTGTATTAAAAAACAAATCACTGGCTGGGCACATTGGCTCATGCCTATAATCCTAACGCTTTGGGAGGCTGAGGTGGGTGCATCACTTGAGCTCAGGAGTTCAAGCCAGCCTGGGCAACACAGTGAGACCCTCATCTCTATAACAATTTTTTAAAATTAGTTGGGTGTAATGGTTTGCACCTGTAGTCCCAGCTGCCCGGAGGCTGAGGTGGGAGGATGACTTGAACCCCAGAGGCGGAGGCTGCAGTGAGCTGTGTTCGAGCCACTGCACTCCAGCCTGGGTGACAGAGCCAGATCCTGTCTCAATAAACAAAAACAAACAACAACAAGAACAACAACAAAGATAAATCACTCAATATAGCATCAGGAGAAAAAGCTCTCTTGAAATAGTCACATGCAAAGAAATTAATTCCCTCTAGTCAGAAAGAGGCGCTGAAGTGCCTGAGAATATCTAATCGATTTCAATGTCAGGTTTTGAGAGGTTTTTTAAAAACAGTTTCAGATGTTTCTTACTATTTTTTGGCAGAACATCTGCCATCTGCTTTCTTGTCTCCCCACATCTTGTAACTAGATGGTGAATTAATAACTCAGAAAAAATATATATCTATATGTAACCTTATCTAAAAGCAATCATCAAAATGTGGTGAGAAGAAGGGGCAGATTTAAAAGTTTTATGAAGCATTTGTTTTAAGCCTCCTTAATTATTCTTGAAAAACAAAACACACCACTTTTCCTGACTGCAGCACTGGGGAGGGTTGCATATTACGGGTGACTGATGAGTTGTGCCTAGGGCTTAATTTTTAAAGTTAGCACTGGGTGATGACAGAGAAAGGTCAATGCCACTGAAAGAATAATTTTTTTTTTTTTTTTTTTTTTTTTTTTTTTTTGAGATGGGGTCTCACTCTGTCACCCAGGCCAGAGTGCAGTGGCATGATCTTGGCTCACTGCAACCTCTGCCTCCTGGGTTCAAGTGATACTCCTGCCTCAGCTTCCCGAGTAGCTGGGATTACAGACGTCTGCCACCACACCCAGTTAATTTTTGTATTTTTAGTAGAGACAGGGTTTCACCATGTTGGCCAGGCTGGTCTCAAAGTCCTGACCTGAGGTGATCTGCCTACCTTGGCCTCCCAAAGTGCTGGGATTACAGACGTGAGCCATTGCACCTGGCCAAGAAGAATTTATTACATACTATTCCCAAGAGATAGGGCCATGCCACACTATGCCAGGCCACACCAGGCCATGCCACACTAGACAGGGCCACAGGAGGAAGTACCAGATTCAGTCAAGAGGCAGAATAAAGGGGAAAGAATGGTCCAGAGCTTTATTGTGTTTCCCAATGGAAGGGCAAGGCAGGACTGGAGAAACAGCTTAGGGTGAACTACTTTGAATAATGCCAGTGGGTTCTGAGTTACAGGAATGGTCTCTAAATGTCTGGCCCTCACCCTACCTGTCCCTAAGGAGAAATACTGGAGAGTTAGAAAAGGAAGTGGTTGAGGGATTGGTTGGAGGGTTTGTGATATGATTTTCACACCCTCACAAAAGCTGGATTGCAGGGGAGATGTAAACAACTTCAGCCTTGGGAGGCCAAGATGAAAGGATGGCTTGAAGCCAGGAGTTCAAGGCTGCAACAAGCTATGAGCACAACACTGCACTCCAGCCTGGTTGAAAGAATGAGATCCTGACTCTACAAAACATTTTTGAAAAAATTTTTTTTTCTTTTTTCTTTCTTTTTTTTGAAATAGTCTTGTTCTGTCACCCAGGCTGAAGTGCAGTGGTATGATCCTGGCTCACTGCAACCTCCGTCTCCTGGGTTCAAGTGATTCTTGTGCCTCAGCATCCTGAGTAGCTGGGATTACAGGCATGTGCCACCATGCCTGGCTAATTTTTGTATTTTTAGTAGAGATGGGGTTTCACCATGATGTCCAGGCTGGTCTCGAACTCCTGACCTCAAGTGATCCACCCACCTTGGCCTCCCAAAGTGCTGGGATTACAGATGTAAGCCACCTTGCCCGGTTGAAAATTTGAAAAATAAAAATTAGCCACGTGTGGTGGTGCACACTTGTAGTCCCACCCAGCCACTTGGGAGGCTGAAGTGGGAGTATCACTTGGGCCCAGGAGGTGGAGGCTGCAGTGAGCTCTGATCATCTGATCATGCCAGTGCTCTCCAACCTGGGTGACAGAACAAGACCCCACCTCAAAACAAACAACAAAACAAAAAACACAACTTCAGCCTTTAGTTTGGCCCTGTGATTAATGATTGCCAAATAGACATATACAGAATCTAAGAAAATAGTTTGCTGAGGTGTGCCTGTCCCCAGTCCAGTAATTAGTATCTAAGATTTACCACCATCCACTCCCGCTTTGTTCTAGATGCCAAACCTCTTCTTCCCCCTTAAGGAATAGTCATATTGCTTGAAGTTATTTTTTTTAATTTATCTGCTTGTTGTTAATCCTGTATTGTTTTAAAATGTGCATTTTAATCTTAAGTGACAAGCTGATTTTCCGTCACTCTGAGATGATGCAAGTACAGACGGTGACACGGGGAGGGGGATGCTCTTTGGTTCCAGGTGGTTGGAGAGAATCACCCAGTGCTTTGGATTGTGTTCCTTCCCCTGTCACCTGTCACAGAGCCAGGGGACAGACCAGGACGACTAGATGGGCCACTGTTTTGGCTTTTCCTTCTATAAAATACCAGCATTTTTTGCCAGATGCAGTGGCTTATGCCTGTAACCCCAGCACTTTGGGAACCTGAGGCAGGCAAATGAGTTGAGCTCAGGAGTTCGAGACCAGCCTGGGCAACATGGCAAAAGCCCATCTCTACAAAAAATACAAAAAATTAGCCGAGCATGGTGGTGCATGCCTGTAGTCCCACCTGCCTGGGAGACTGAGGTGGGAGAATCTCCTGAGCCTAGGAAGTCAAGGCTGCAGTGAGCAGTAATCCCGCTACTGCACTCCAGCCTGGGCAACAGAGTGAGACCCTGTCTCAAAAAAAAACCCCAAAAGCCCAACACCTTCAAAGAGATCTTATAAATACAGATCCTTTTCTTCCTACAGATATGCCAAATACTACAAGGAAAACAATGTTGAGAAACGGACTCTGATAAAAGTCTTTGGGATCCGTTTTGACATCCTGGTTTTTGGCACCGTAAGTCTCCTTTCCCAGCTCCGGGCACCGGCATCCTATGGCTGTGTCCTAATTACTGCTGTGGGGCCTCCACGGAGGGCAGGGTTTTGGTCACAGCCATTAGCTAGCACTGGGCATTTCGCACATGGCATAAAAGAGGAAGAAGATGTCCTTGGGGTGCTGTCCCTGAATGAGTCATCTGACGAGTACAGGAGTGGGCCTGGAAAGCAATTCTAACATTCAGCTTTAAAAATACTCTGATACTTAACAAGAGAGAAAAAGAAATCTCCTGTAAAACAGTTTGTAAGTAACAGAACCCAATTCAAATTGGCTTAAGGGGAAAAAGAAAAAAAAAATGTTTTCAGTGGGCTTTTTTGGGTTCACATAACTGAAAAAATTCCAGGGGTTATTTTTAAGCTACAAGCATGGTTGGATCCAGGTGTTAAAACAACAACATCATCATCAAGAACTTGCCACCCTCTGTGTCTTATATACGTCCTCCTCGGTCTTGGCATCATCCCCAGACCAGCCATCTCTCTATGAAGGTATCAAGCAGCACCTTCGATCTGACCAGTTTAGCAACCTCAGTGAAAAGAAAATGCCTCTTTGCCAGAAGGTTCAGCAAAGGTCTCAGACAAATGTCATCAGCTCTGATTGGCCCACTATGGATGACATGCCCACCGCTGAACTAATCACTGTGACCAGGGTCATGCCATACTCCCAATGGCTGGTCTCGAACCAACCCTAACCCAGCCCAGGGGCCATCGGAGAGGCCAACACCCCAGCCCCTTCAACACACACACACACACACACACACACACACACACATACACACACACACACACATACTACATGGACTGAAAAGAAAATTGGAGTGTTGCCCTCTGAAGACAGAAGGAAAAGATGCCAGGTATGCAAAAATCAACATATCCCACGACATGGTATCCAAGAGCATGTTATCTATGTAAGATGGTGATAAGCAGGACGAGAAGCAATGAGATATAGCTGAAAGAATGCAAAGACCACCGGGAATAAAAACCACGAGGCTGGGCCGGGCACAGTGGCTCACGCCTGTAATCCAAGCTCTTTGGAAGGCTGAGGAAGGTGGATCACGAGGTCAGGAGTTCAAGACCAGCCTGGCCAACATGGTGAAACCCTGTCTCTACTAAAAATGCAAAAAATTAGGTGGGTGTGGTAGTGGGTGCCTGTGATCCCAGCTACTTGGGAGGCTGAGGCAGGAGAATCACTTGAACCCAGGAGGTGGAGCTTGCAGTGAGCTGAGATCACGCCACTGCACTCCAGCCAGGGCAATAGTGTAAGACTCTGTCTCAAAAAAAAAAAAAAAAACCACGAGGCCACCCAGACATTCCTTCCCTCTACTTCTGAAGTAATGTCAAACCTTTTGGAGAAGAAGCTTGTCTGAAATCCTCACCTTGTATGAAGAAATGACAGCCCTTCGGTGGGTCTCTCCTTAATGTGTGGGCCCGTGCTTGTTCATGTAAAACCTTTATGGGTCTAAGCACACCCTGCACGGCTGAAGCAGGATGCCTGAGAGTCAGTTTCAGTCTGCGTAGTCTCTGCCTCGGCCAGCACCTGAATGCATCTATCCAAGTCACAGTAGGAGGCTCGGCTCCCTGATAGAACCAAGCATTGCACGCTGAAGCAAAAGAGCGCTGCTCTGAATTTCACCTGAGTAAACTCTCCCACTCTGTTTTTAGGGAGGAAAATTTGACATTATCCAGCTGGTTGTGTACATCGGCTCAACCCTCTCCTACTTCGGTCTGGTAAGAGATTATCTTTTCCGCGCATTAGGAAAATGGTTTGGAGAAGGAAGTTACTAACGTGGCGCTTGTCTGCGTTTTCCACAGGCCACTGTGTTCATTGACTTCCTCATCAACACTTACTCCAGTAACTACTGTCGCTCCCATATTTATCCCTGGTGCAAGTGCTGTCAGCCCTGTGTGGTCAACGAATACTACTACAGGAAGAAGTGCGAGTCCATTGTGGAGCCAAAGCCGGTGAGGCCGCTGTGTTCACAGGACACCAAGACACGGAGAGATTCCGTGAAATCACTGAGCAATGCACGAAAGGCCCAAATCACAGGCTTCATCCTGTAGTGGATACGTCTCTGGGCTCTACCCCGATCAACCAACTCTCAGATAAATTCTTGGGTCTTACAGAAGAATAGAAACAAAAAATGGAGGGGCAAGATAGAGGGAAGGCAATTTTTTATATCCAGGACTTGCCAATTTTGTCATTTATTTATTTATTTATTTTCAGATGGAGTCTTGCTCTATCACCCAGGCTGGAGTGCCTCCCAGGTTTAAGTGATTCTCCTGCCTCAACCTCCCAAGTAGCTGGGACCACAAGTACATACCACCACACCCAGCTACTTTTTATATTTTTAGTACAGACGGTGTTTAGCTATGTTGGCCAGGCTGGTCTCAAACTCCTGACTTCAAATGATCCACCCACTCTGCCAGCCACAGTGCTGAGATTACAAGTGTAAGCCACTGAGCCCAGTCTGTTTTGTCATTTATTAAATTGGTATAGCCAAAAAAAAAAAAAGAAAAGAATAACGACTTTAGAGAACAATTTGGCAGTGACTAATGTTTAAATGGGACATACTTTACAGCCTGGCATTTTCAGTTCTCCATACCTGCCCTAGAAAAATACCCACATGAGTACCCAAGCAATACACGAGTGCAAGATGTTCAAAGCAGGATTGTTTATTAAATTATCAATCATATATGATTATTAACAGTGAAGAAATAGCATCTAACCAAATATCCAACAGGTGAATGGTGAAAGAAACTATGGTAAATTCATAGAAAGGAATACCAGGCACCAGTTAAAAAAAATGAGATAGATAATAATAATGGGCCGGGCGCGGTGGCTCAAGCCTGTAATCCCAGCACTTTGGGAGGCCGAGACGGGCGGATCACGAGGTCAAGAGATCGAGACCATCCTGGTTAACACGGTGAAACCCCGTCTCTACTAAAAAATACAAAAAACTAGCCGGGCGAGGTGGTGGGCACCTGTAGTCCCAGCTACTCGGGAGGCTGAGGCCGGAGAATGGCGTGAACCCGGGAGGCGGAGCTTGCAGTGAGCTGAGATCCGGCCACTGCACTCCAGCCTGGGCGACAGAGCTACACTCCGCCTCAAAAAAAAAAAAAATAATAATAATAATAATAATGGCAAACACTTACACAGCACTTCTAAATGCTTTATACATTAACTCACTGAATCTTCACAACAACCTGATGTAGACAGATGCTACTATTATCTCTTTCTGTGGATGAGGAAATTGAGCTACAGGAAGGTTAAATAATTGGCCCAAGGCTGGGCACAGTGGCTCATGCTTGTAATCCCAACACTTTGGGAGGCTGAGGCAGGCAGATCACTTGAGGTCAAGAGTTCGAGACCAGCCTCACCAACATGGTGAAACCCCATCTCTACTAAAAATACAAAAATTAGCCAGGCGTGGTGGTGCACGCCTGAAGTCTCAGCTGCTTGGGAGGCTGAGGCAGGAGAATTGCTTGAACCTAGTTGGCAGAAGTTGCAGTGAGCCAAGATTATACCATTGCACTCCAGCCTGGGTGACAGAGGGAAACTCTGTCTCAAAAAAAAAAAAAAAAAAAAAATTATAGGGCTTGACAAGAGCGGATCTCCAAGACATTTGTTAAAAAAAAAAAAGCAAACTGTAGAGCAATATATATTATATGATATATAGGATAAAAAAACCACTAGACACAGAAGCTAATCTATATATTTTCTGCATGTATATTCTATATATACAGAAGTGCACACACACACACATATACATATGTGTGGTTGTATATATGTACACAAAATTGTACCAGTGGCTGCTTCTGGAAAGGAGCTTAGATGGGGGAGTAGTCAAAGAGATTTCAGCGTCATCTGTATTGTTTTGATTTGATTAATCCATTGGACTTTATTAAGCAGGTCCTCTGCATTCAACTCCATGATTTTCCCCAAAGAGAAATCTCTGGTACCTAAAAACAAAGGTGATTCGCTGGACACGGTGGCTCACGCCTGTAATCCCAGCACTTTGGGAGGCCAAGGTGGGCGGATCACCTGAGGTCAGGAGTTCAAAACCAGCCTGGCCAACATGGAGAAACCCCGTCTCTACTAAAAATATAAAAAGTAGTGGGGTGTGGTGGCGCATGCCTGTAATCCCAGCTTCTCCAGAGGCTGAGGCAGGAGAATCACTTGAACCCAGGAGGTGGAGGTTGCAGTGAGTCAGGATCACGCCACTGCACTCCAGCCTGGGCAACAAGAGCCAGCAACATGATTGTCCTGTTCCAGCAGCTGAATGCACAATTCACTGTCCATTGTATATGCATTCACAATTTGAAATAAAAGTTCATCTTTACAGCTAAAACTAATCACTACTTAATGGCCCAAGATGAGATGAAATTTAACAAACATATAAATAATTTAAGTTGCAATAGTACAACTTTCTGGAGATACTGAATCTAGAGTTACTGAAATTGAGATAATACCACAAAGAAATTGTACACAGCAATTGGGGGATCCAATGTAAAAACATTAAGCAGTAAGCTGTGGCTATGTTGAATTTACAAATTAAGATGCATGGGGTTCTGCCCAGCGCGGTGGCTCATGCCTGTAATTCCAGTACTTTGGGAGGCCAAAGTGGGGGGTATCACCTGAGGTCGGGAGTTCAAGACCAGCCTGCCCAACATGGAGAAACCCCATCTCTACTAAAAATACAAAATTAACTGGGCGTGGAGGTGCATGCCTGTAATCCCAGCTACTCAGGAGGCTGAGGCAGCATAATCACTTGAACCTGGGAGGCGGATGTTGCAGTGAGCCAAGATCGCGCCACTGCACTCCAGCCTGGGCAACAAGAGCGAACTCCGTCTCAAAAAAAAAAAAAAGCATGGGGTTCCATTTCTGATTTACCTTTAGACTCAGAAATCATTTATTCTTGGTCAATGAGAGTTTTGAGCCAGTTTGTTCAATAGTCTATCCATTTGGCAAATAGGAATTACAATTTCCTTTAGATAGGCAATTCTTGATAATTCTGTACAAAAATGGGTAAACTTTTAAACCGTCTTTTCCTAGACATTAAAGTATGTGTCCTTTGTGGATGAATCCCACATTAGGATGGTGAACCAGAAGCTACTAGGGAGAAGTCTGCAAGATGTCAAGGGCCAAGAAGTCCCAGTAAGTTAAATCATTTTGTCTTTATTTTTTAAAGAAAATTTACTATTAAATATAAACCCATCTAGAAACTTGTACAAATCAAAACTGATGGATTTGAACAAAGTAAACATACTCATGTAACCGGCACTCAGATTAAACAACTGAAAATTACTAGCAGGAGTCCCTTTTATGCCCTGCTCCAATCACTACCCTCTCTTTCTGTTTTTTTTAATTTTTAAAATTTGGCTGGGCATGGTGGCTCACACCTGCAATCCCAGCACTTTGGGAGGCCAAGGCAGGTGGATCACTTGAGGTCAGGAGTTCAAGACCAACCTGGCCAACATGGTGAAACCCTGTCTCTACTAAAAATACAAAAATCAGCCAGGTGGTGTGGTGGCATACATGTAATCCCAGCTACTCAGGAGGCTGAGGCAGGAGAATCGCTTGAACCCAGGAGGTGGAGGTTGCAGTGAGCCAAGATTGTGCCACTGCACTCCAGCCTGTGTGACAGAGCAAGACTCCATCTCAAAAAAAAAAAAGAGAAAAAAATGTATATTTTTAAATTACAAACGAGGTGTCACTATGTTACCCAGGATGGTCTCAAGCAATCCTCCCACCTCGGCTCTACCAAGTCCACCCAACTGCCCTCTCTTAAAAGTAGTCATTATCCTGTATCCAAAGATTAATTTTACTTCTGCTAGAATTTTCTAAAAGTTGAATCATGTAGTGTGTAAGTGGTACATACTCGGTTGAGTGTCTGGCTTCCTTTACTTGACATTATTTTTGCGGGAGTCGTTCATGACGCTGTGTATAGTTCATTCCCATTGTATAATTCCGTTTTATAAGCATCCAACTTACTCAGCCATCCTACTGTTGATGGACATTTGGGTAGTGTCCAGTTTGGGGCTAATGCCAATAACGCTGCTATGCTCAACATACGGTACTCTACTAGGCAGTTACCTAAGAGTGGAATTGCTGAGTCATAAGGCAGACATATATTCAGTTTTAGGAGATACTAACAAACAGTGCTACAAAATGGTTGTTCTTATTCGCACTCTCCCCAACAGTTCTGGCTGCTGGGCATCTTCAATTTCCTAGGGCTGAATTACCATACGCTAAGCGGCTTAAACAACAGAAATGGCTGGTGGCTCATGCCTGTAATCCCAGCACTTTGGGAGGCCGAGGTGGGCAGATCACCAGAGGTCGGGAGTTTGAGACCAGCCTGACCAACATGGAGAAACCCCATCTCTACTAAAAATACCAAAATTAGCCAGGCATGGTAGCACATGCCTGTAATCCCAGCTGCTCGGGAGGCTGAGGCAGGAAAATTGCTTGAACCTGGGAGGCAGATGTTGTGGTGAGCTGAGATCGCACCATTGCACTCCAGCCTAGGCAACAAGAGCAAAACTCCATCTCAAAAACAACAACAACAACAGAAACATATTCTGTCACAGTTCTGGAGCCTAGAAGTCTGAAATTAAGGTGTTGGTAGGGCCCCTCTCTATCTGAAGGCTCTAGGGAGGAATCTTTCCTTGTCTCTTCCTGGCATCTAATGTTTTATGACATTGACCAGGACCTCCAGTACAATACTGAACAGAAATGATAATAGCAGCCATCTCTGCTTCATTCCCTATCTTAGGGAGAAAGGCTTTTATACTTCACTATTCATTATACTATTTGCAGTAAGTTTTTTTGTTTGTTTGTTCTGAGATGCAGTCTCACTCTGACGCCCAGGCTAGAGTGCAGTAGTGCGATCTTGGCTCACCGCGACCTCTGCCTCCTGGGTTCAAGCAATCCTGCTGCCTCAGCCTCCCAAGTAGCTGAGATTACAGGTGTGCACTACCAAGCCTGGCTAATTTTTGTGTTTTTAGTAGAGACAGAGTTTTGCCATGTTGGCCAGGTTGGTCTCCAACTCCTGACCACAGGTGATCCGCCTACCTCAGCCTCCCAAAGTGCTGGGATTACAGGAGTGAGCCACTGCATCCAGCCTGCAGTATGTTTTTAAGAATGTGCTATTAGGTCAGAAAATTCCCTTCTGTTTCTAGTTTGCTAAGCACTTTTACCATTAATGGATATTGATTTCTGAAATAATGTCTTATTTGTTTTCTGGCCGGGTACAGTGGCTCATGCCTACAATCCCAACACTTTGAGAGGCCAAGGTGGGCAGATCACCTGAGGTCAAAAGCTCGAGAACAGCCTGGCCAACATGGCGAAACCCTGTCTCTTTTAAAAGTACAAAAATTAGCCGGGCATGGTGGTGCACACCTGTAATCCCAGCTACTCAGGACTGAGGTGGGAGAACTGATTGAACCTGGGAGGTGGAGGCTGCAGTTAGCTGAGATCATGCCACTGCACTCTAGCCTGGGCAACAGAACAAGACTCCATCTCAAAAAAAAAAAAAAAAAAGTTTTTCTGCTCCTTTTGAAATACCAATGAGTTTTCTTCTTTTTTTCTGTTAGGTAGTGAATTATACTGATTGATTTTCAAATATTAAGCCAACCTTGCATTCCTGAAGTAAATTCAATTTGAATGTGTTGTACTATTCTTTGTATTTATTGCTGAATTCCATTCACTAATATTTAGGATTTTTACATCTCTTCTTTAGAAAGACTGACCAAAGTGTTTCCATTCTAATGTTCTTATTGGATTTGTGTATGAAGTGAACTACAGTCATGTGTCACTTAACGATGGGGATATGTTCTGAAAAATGCATCAGTAGCTGATTCTGTGGTTGTCTGAATATCATAGACTCTATTTACACAAACCTAAATGGAATAGCCTATTATACACTTAGGTTACATGGTGTAGTCTACTGCTCCTAGGCTGCAAACCTGTACAGCATGTTACTGTACTGAATACTGTAAGCAACTGTAACAGAATGGTAAGATTTGTATATCTAAATATAGAAAAGGTACAGTGAAAATATGATATATAAAGCTAAAAAATGGTACATCTGCATAGGGCACTTACCATGAGTGAAGCTTGCAAGACTGAAAGTTGCTCTGGGTGAGTCGGTCAGTGAGTGAGTGGTGAGTGAATGTGAAAGCCTAGGTTGTTACTGTGCACTACAGTAGACTTCATAAACACTGTGTGCTTAGGCTACACTAAATTTAGTTCAAAATATTTCTCTTTCTTCAATAAATCAATCTTAGCTTACTGTGGCTTTACTTTATAAATTTTTAAATTTTTTAAACTTTGTACAGTGGTATAAAAATATTTTCTTTCTCAGCGGGTGTGGTAGCTCACGCTTACAATCCCAGCACTTTGGGAGGTAGAGGTGGGTGGATCACAAGGTCAGGAGATCGAGACCATCCTGGCCAACATGGTGAAACCCCGTCTCTACTAAAAATACAAAAAAATAGCCAGGCGTGGTGGTAGGCACCTGTTGTCCCAGCTACTTGGGAGGCTGAGGTAGAAGAATGGCATGAACCCGGGAGGCAGAGCTTGCAGTGAGACAAGATCGTGCCACTGCACTCCAGCCTGGGTGACAGAGCAAGACTCCATCTCAAAATAATAATAATAATTCTTTCTCTATATCTTTATTCTATATACTGTTTTCTATTTTTAACATTTTTTATTTTTATTTTTACTTTTTAAACATTTTTGTTAAAAACCAAGTCACGGCTGGGTGTGGTGGCTCATGCTTGTAATCCCAGCACTTTGGGAGGCTGAGGTGGGTGGATCACTCGAGGTCAGGAGTTCAACACCAGCCTGGCCAATGTGGTGAAACTGTCTCTACTAAAAATATAAAAATTAGCTGGGTGTGGTGGTGCACGCCTGTAGTCCCAGCTACTCAGGAGGCTGAGGCAGAAGAATCGCTTGAACCCGGGAGGTGGAGGTTGCAGTGAGCCGAGATCATGCCACTGCACTCCAGCCTGGGAGACAGAGCAAGACTCTGTCTCAAAAAAAAAAAAAAAAAAAAAAAATTCCGATAAGTCCTGGGAAGAATGTGGAATACCACAGTGTGATAAGGGAATCACGTGGGAGAAAAGCTGCTAGATAGGGTAGTCAGGAAAGGAGGTGACATCTCAACAGAGGCCTGGCTTTTCTGAATTTCATTTTCCAAAATCTGTAAAATAGGCCAGGTGCAGTGGCTCACGCCTGTAATCCCAGCACTTTGGGAAGCTGAGGCGGGCAAATCACCTGAAGTCAGGAGTTCCAAACCAGCCTGGCCAATATGTTGAAATACCGTTTCTACTAGAAATACAAAAGAATTAGCTGGGCATGGTGGCGTACACCTGTAATCCAAGCTACTTAAGAGGCTAAGGCATGAAAATTGCCTGAACCTGGGAGGTGGAGGTTAGAGTGAGCTGACAGGTCACACGACTGTGCTCCAGCCTAAGCGAGAGTGAGACCCTCTTTCAAAAAAAAAAAAAAAAAATCTGTAAAATAGAGACAAGAATACATTACCTCACAAGCATCTTCAAAGGCTTGAATGCGGCAGTGCTTACAGAACACATGCATGGACCTGATATCTACACCTAATAAATGACAGCTACTATAACTCATGTAATATTAAATGTAACTTTATAAGTTAATAAAATTAAAGAACCTAGAACCTGAGGGCTTGTCATTGCTAATAGGTTTGGAAACTTGCTTTTTCAGAGACCTGCAATGGACTTCACAGATTTGTCCAAGCTGCCCCTGGCCCTCCATGACCCACCCCCGATTCCTGGACAACCAGGGGAGATGCAGCCGCTTAGAGAGGAGGTGACTCCTAGATCCAGGGACAGCCCCGTCTGGTGCCAGTGTGGAAGCTGCCTTCCGTCCCAACTCCCCAAGAGCCACAGGTGCCTGGAGGAGCTGTGCTGCCGGAAAAAGCCGGGGGCCTGCATCACCACCTCAGAGCTGTTCAGGAAGCTGGTCCTGTCCAGACACGTCCTGCAGTTCCTCCTGCTCTACCAGGAGCCCTTGCTGGCGCTGGATGTGGATTCCACCAACAGCCGGCTGCGGCACTGTGCCTACAGGTGCTACGCCACCTGGCGCTTCGGCTCCCAGGACATGGCTGACTTTGCCATCCTGCCCAGCTGCTGCCGCTGGAGGATCCGAAAAGAGTTTCCCAAGAGTGAAGGGCAGTACAGTGGCTTCAAGAGTCCTTACTGAAGCCAGGCACCATGGCTCACGTCTGGAATCCCAGCCCTTTGGGAGGCCGAGGCAGGCAGATCACCCGAGGTTGGGAGTTGGAGACCAGCCTGGCTAACAAGGCGAAATCCCGTTTGTACTAAAAATACAAAAATCAGCCAGACATGGTGGTGTGCACTTGTAATCCCAGCTACTCGGGAGGCTGAGGCACGAGAATCACTCGAACCTGGGAGGCGGAGGTTGTAGTGAGCCGAGATTGTGCCACTGCACTCCAGCCTGGGAGGCACAGCAAACTGTCTCAAAAAAAAAAAAAAAAAAAAAAAAAAAAAGAGTCCTTACCGATAGCAGGGGCTGCAGTAGCCATATTAACATGACCTTTACTAGCAACTTGAACTTCACCTGCAAAGCTCTGTGGCCACAGTTTTAGCCAAAGGGAAATGTGCTTTCATCTTCTATAGCTCTCTGTGTCTGACAGCAAAGTGACCTGTTTAAACAAACCAGAATCCCTCTGCATGGACTGAGAGCAAACAGATTGAGATGTAAGTTTCAACTCTGTCCCTAGGAAGTTGTGTGACCCTAGGCCTCTCACCTCTGTGCCTCTGTCTCCTCGTTGCCCAACTACTATCTCAGAGATATTGTGAGGACAGATTGCACATGAACTGTCTCGTTAGTGTTTAAAGATCTACGTGAATGCAAAACATTTCATTATGAGGTCAGACTAGGATAATGTCCAACTAAAAACAAACCCTTTTCGTCCTGGTTGAAGAATGTGGAGGACTAAAGGTGGCCACAGATTCTTTAACACTCAAGTCCCCCAAGACCTAAGGGTTTTATCTCCTCCCCTTGAGAATGGGTGGCTCTGATTGTTTTATCCAAAAGTGGAAGTGACATTGTGTCAGTTTCAGATCCTGGTCTTAAGAGGCTGACAGCTTCTACTTCCTGTCCCTTGGAACTCTTGCTATCGCGGAAGCCAGACTCCATTTAAAAGTCTGCCTATCCTGGCCAGGCGTGGTGGCTCACACCTATAATCCCAGCACTTTGGGAGACCAAGGCGGGCGGATCACTTAAAGTCAGGAGTCCGAGACCAGACTCGCCAACATGGTGAAACCATATCTCTAATAAAAATACAAAAATTATCTGGGCATGGTAGCGGGCACCTGTAGTCCTAGCTATCAGGAGGCTGAGACAGGAGAAACACTTGAACTTGGGAGGTAGAGTTGTATCGAGCTGAGATCACGCCACCGCACTCCAGGTTGGGTGACAGAGTGAGACTCCATCTCAAAAAAACAAGGTCTGCCTATCCTGAGACCACCCTGCTGTGAGGAAGCCCAAGCAGCCATGTGGACAGTGCCTGACCAGCCCCAGCTTTCAAGCCATCCAAGCCCAGTCACCAAACATGAGAGAGAAGAAGCCTTCAGGTGATTGTGGACTCTACTAACATGACTGATACCACATGATACATCCCAAGTGAGAACTGCCCCATAAATCCAGAAAACCAAATTATTATCTTAAGTCACTAAGTTTTGGGTTTGTCTGTTCCACAGCAAGAGATAACTGGAACAGAGAGCAAGCCTGACAAATGGGCACACAGACTCAGCCCATACCTTCCTGGTTCTAATGTTCTTAGGGAGCCCAGACTAACCCTGGAACTCTCAGGAACTTAGGTTTCCACTGGACAGTTCTAGAAGGGCTATGGACCAAATCAGGTAACTCACCAGACCAGCCTTGGAATCTATCAAATCTAACTGCTGAGCTACACAATACATTCCAATTGTCATCACAATTCTATGACTGAAGGCCGGGTGCAGTGGCTCAAGCCTGTAATCCCAGCACTTTGGGAGGCCGAGGCAGGTGAATCACCTGAGGTCAGGAGTTCGAGACCAGCCTGGCCAACATGGTGAAACCCTGTCTCTACTAAGAATACAAAAATTAGATGGGCGTAGTGGTGGGCGCCTGTAATCCCAGGTACTTGGGAGGCTGAGTCAGGAGAATCTCTTGAACCTGGAAGGTGGAGGTTGCAATGAACCAAGATAGTGCCACTGCACTCCAGCCTGGACGACAGAGCAAGACTCTGTCTCAAAAACAAAAAACAAAACAGAACAATTCCATGACTGAAAGTGACTAAAAAGCTGCCTTTTTGCCATTAACACCCTGCACTTTGCAGCCAATCAGAACTGACGCAGTCTGGGTGCCAGCTACTTCAACCCACACCTTTACCATTTCCACACATCAACTGCCGAGAATATGAAAATGCAGTGACAGGTTTTAGGATCCTGCTTCAGAATTTCCTTTTCCTGGTTTGGTCACTAGAGTTGGCTATTTATCTGTTTCTAAACAACTGCCATTTTATCGAATAGTTTAGAGACCACTATTAAATATTGTGACTGATGAAAGATCTGTGAATTTTTTTATACATATTCTAAGAGTTACCGTTTTGATACCTTTTAAAAACCAGCAGCTTTCTACTATATTCATGTAAGACAGCATGAATAAAAATGTTTTTTGATACAGGGTTTTATCTGGCTTTAAACTCAGGAACCAAGTTAATTATGCCAGATTGAACTTTGATTTTTACTACCTTTTCAAAGACATTTTAAAAAGTGGGTAATTATACGTATATAATATGCATAATATTTCTTTGGAGCTGACATTTCTTTTCTCCACGAATTCTATGTTACTGTTACATCTTTCCGTTCTGATGGCCTCTGGGCCTTTGTACCTTTGGTTTTGGTGCCTTATTCCTAGTATGTTTCTATCACCTTAATGAGGCCGCAGATGGAGTCAGAATGTGAAATTACAAATAATCACTGGATCCACCTACTGTTTTCCATCACCTTCCCCACTGATGCTCTGGGTAAGACAGTGATGTGTCACTTCAACTGTGTGTAATATGTCAGACACGTCCCATAATAACAGGCGTCATATTTGTATTCTTATTTTTAGTTTACTGTAGAAAATAATGGCATCACCAAAGGTGATGAGAGTTTTTGTAGGATCTGTTTTCTTATACTTAAAGACAGTCTTCTGTTATGGTAATTGCCAGTATTCATGGCTTCCTCTCTGCGTCAGAAGAGAAGGGATCTGCTTTCTCTCGGCTGATTTCACATAGTATTGGTAATAGACTTGCATTTCTCTTTCTAAAGGGGAATAACTTTTTAAACCCTTCCTGATTTTAGCCTGGCAATGTAAGTGTCCTTAATGTGACTGTTTTGATAATTAAAAAAAAAAAAAATGTATAATTTGTTTATTTAAATCTTTCCTTTCTTTTCAGAAGGTCCCCAAATCACAGTTAACTCATTCATGGACACATTCATTCAACTTTCAATGAGGCACTCTCTAGAGACCAAGGATAAATAAGGTTGCCAGTCTCATGGAGATATGAGGAGATGAAAATTAATCAAATAATTCAAGCAAATGGAATCTTGCAACTTGTGCTGAGTATCATGGTGAAGAGGCAAATGATGGCATGAGAGCTTATAGTAGGGGAATTTGGCCTATTTGGGAAGATCAGCCTACCTGAGGAAGGAATGTTTTAGCTAAAATCTGAAGGATGAGTACTACTTAACTAGTGAGTGGGGGAGGAAAGAGCATTCTAGCAGAGAGAACAGTATGTGCAAAGGTCCTGGGGCAGGAAAAGCAGAGCAGGTTTTTAGAACTTAAAGGAGACCTATATGACTGTGCCATAAACAGTACAGGGAAGTAAGGCATGAGTCACAGTTGGACAAGCAGGCAGGGGCTAGCAGCCTGTGGGCCATGGTAGAGTTTGTCTTTATCCTAAGACCTAAGCCAGGTAAGGGTTCTAATCAGGAGCCTGTTAAGATCACATTTAATTTTTATTTTTATTTATTTATTTTTATTTTATTTTATTTTATTTTATTTGAGATGGAGTCTTGCTCTGTTGCCCAGGCTGGAGTGCAGTGGCTCAACCTCAGCTCACTGCATCCTGTGCCTCCTGGGTTCAAGTGATTCTCCTGCCTCAGCCTCTCGAGTGTCTAGGATTACAGGTGCCTGCCACCACGCCCAGCTAATTTTTGTATTTTTAATAGAGATGGGGTTTCACCATGTTGGCCGGGCTGGTCTCGAATGACTGACCTCGAGTGATCTGCCGGCCTCAGCCTCCCACAGTGCTGGAATTACAAGCATGAGCCACCACACCCAGCCTTATTTTTCTATTGTATTCTATTGTATTCTATTGTATTCTATTGTATTGCATTGTATTCTATTCTATTCTATTCTATTCTATTCTATTCTATTCTATTCTATTCTATTCTATTCTATTCTATTTTGAGATGGAGTTTCACTCTTGTTTCCCAGGCTGGAGTGCAATGGCACAATCTCAGCTCACTGCAACCTCTACCTCCTGGCTTCAATCAATTCTCCTGCCTCAGCCTCCTGAGTAGCCACGATTATAGGCACCTGCCATCATGCCCGGCTAATTTTTATATTTTTAGTAGAGATGGAGTTTCTCCATGTTGGCCAGGCTGGTCCCGAATGCCTGACCTTAAGTGATCCACTGGCCTCGGCCTCCCAAAGTGCTGGGATTACAGGCATGAGCCACGGCACCCAGCCACCATATTAATGTTTAAAAGATCACTGTGATCGCTGTGTGGAAAATGAGCTGGGAGTGGTGGTGGATATAGTTTTTGTTTCAGTCTTTTGCTACTCCATGAAACATTTGCCCCACATATGCAGCCACATCGAATGTTTTTTTCTCCCCTCCTCTTCCTCTTGGGAAGTCACCAAAAAAGAAAAAAAAGGGAAAAAAAAATCAGCAGCAAGAGAAAAGGAGGAAAAGCTGTGGTGTGCCTTGAATTTTGTAATGGCCCCTGTCCCAGGCTGGCAGGGATGAGTCTACGTGTTGAGCTTCAGATCACAGGAAGGAGTGCACCAAATCAGGAGACAAAGGGCAGTCAGCAGGACCCACTGGGTACACACCCTGCGGTGTAAGGCTTAAAATCAAGCTCTAATATGAGGTGCTGCCTTGACATCAGGTGAAATCAGGAGTGCCTGGAATAGCCTCACCCCAAGTTTCTCTCCCAGTCCTCCCTTGGCAAAGGGTGCCCAGTGAAACAGCCTTCCTTATCAAACAGACCAGATGCAGTTCCTACTAATCCCTAAGCGGCAGGCGTGAGTCTCTGGCCAACCCATGGAATTGTCCAAATGAGCCAGTCACATCCTCCAGGGAACCAGGGCCTCCTCACCCTCTTGGTGCTACAATGCCTGCCCCCCACTGGCCCTGGCTGTTCACTCTGTTTCTGTGTGGCCCTGCACGGCATGTGGGGTCTTCCTCCCTGAGCTGTAACCAAAAACTGCTGCCAATCTCATCTGCCCAGTGTTGGGTGTCCATGTGTTCAGCCACCCCCATTACCCTGGGGTGGGAACTGGGAATCCCTCCCTCATCACTGAGGTAAAGAGGAGGTTATTAAAACATCCCTAATTCAGATGGGCGTGGTGGCTCACGCCTATAATCTCAGCACTTTGGGAGGCTGAGGCGGGTGGATCACCTGAGATCAGGAGTTCGAGACCAGCCTGGCCAACATGGGGAAACCCTGTTTCTATTAAAAATACAAAAAATTAGTCAGGCATGGTGGCAGGCACCTGTAATCTCAGCTGCTTGGGAGGCTGAGGCAGGAGAATTGCTTGAATCCGAGAGGCTGAGGTTGTGGTGACCCACAATTGCACCACTGCTCTCCAGCCTGGACAACAAGAGCGAAACTCTGTCTCAAAAAAAAAAAAAAAAAAAAAAAAATTCCCTAATTCCAGGCCAACCAGCAGCCCTGAAAAATTAATCTTGGTTTGGCTTCTGCCCAAAGTCATGGTCTACACAAAGCCCTGCCTACTAGAGGCAATAAAGAACCATGACCACCACTCCCATTTATTCGGATTACCCACTGGAATGCACCGAGTGGGGTTTTGCCCTTTGCTGCTTGTATGTTTCTCAACCCATGTTCTAATCCCATGCAGTCATCATTCAGGGATCCCCTGACTCAACTTTTCCTTTTTGAATAGATTAGAAATTCCTATCTTCTTTCACTTTTATGACTTTTCAGCTTCCTGTTTTCCATTCCTGAGGGCTATGAATCATATTTCCAAAATAAATGATGATCTATGGAAAGGATTTTGCATTTCCAACATCCTTAGCTAATTTTAATGAATTATCATGGTCACATGATCCTAAGGCTTCAGGAATCAGAGGAAGTGGCTGACAATGACTTACCATTTTAACCAAATAATCACCACACCTAAGCTTGGATAAGGGTTAACTAAAAGTAACAGGGCTCTTATGCAAGCCCTTCGAGTCTGGTAAGTTATGAGTATTTATGTTTTATCTCCCCCTAAAAAACAATAAGACCCTCAGAGGCAAGGAACTCATCTTGGTTTTTGTCCCTTACACACCTATCTCAGCCCAGTGGTATGGTGGGCACTGGAAACAGACCACCTGGGTTCAAATCCTGGCTTGGTCACTTATTGGCCAAGTGGCCTGATATGGTTTGGCTGTGTCCCCACCCAAATCTCATCTTGAATTGTAGCTCCCATAATTCCCATGTGTTGTGGGAGGGACCTGGTGGGCGATAATTGAATTATGGGGGCGGTTTCCCCCATACTGTTCTCGTGGTAGTGAATACATCTCACGAGATCTGAGGGTTTTATAAGGGGTTCCCCCTTTTGCTTGGCTCTCATTCTCGTTTTGCCTGCCACCGTGTAAGATGTGGCTTTGCTCCTCCTTGCCTTTGCCATGATTGTGAGGCTTCCCCAGCCCTGTGGAACTGTGAGTCAATTAAACTTTTCCTTTATAAATTACCCGGTCTTGGGTGTGTCTTTATTAGCAGCGTGAGAACAGACTAATATATGGCTTCGGGCAGCTTCTCATGTCTCGCCATGGTAGCTATTCTTATGATTTGGATGGTACCCAAGCATCACTCCTAAGCTCCAGGCCCATATATTAAATCACCTCCAGAAATTATATACTTAAATGGTTTAGAGGCAACTCAAACAGGTACAAAAGACAAATCATGATCTCAGTACACCCCACCCACATGTGAGTCCCAGAGCTCCCAAGATCAGCCAGTAGCACCACCTGCCATCAGTTCAACTTCCCAAACCAGAAATTCAAAGGATACCTATTGGGGGAACGAGCCCCCAGTATTTCAATGTACGTTCTTTTCTATTTTCTCTAAGTGTCAGCCAGTCTGAGAAACAGAGAAAGAGTACAAAGAGAGAAATTTTACAGCTGGGCCTCCGGAGGTGACATCACATATTGGCAGGTTCCAGGATGCCTACCTGAGCAGCAAAACCAGCAAGTTTTTATTAGGGAATTCAAAAGGGGAGGGGTATATGAATAGGGAGTAGGTCACAGGGATCACATGCTTCAGAGGGCAATAAAAGATCACAAGGCAGAGGCAGAGAGCAAAATTAGAATTACTGATGAAGTTCCATGTCCCACTGGGCATGCATTGTCTTGATAAACATCTTAACAGGAAACAGGGTTCGAGAGCAGATAACCTGGTCTGACTAGAATTCACCAGGCTGGAATTTCCCAATCCTGGTAAGCCTGAAGGCACTGCAGGAGACCAGGGAGTATTTCATCCTTTATCTTCAACCGCATAAGACAGGCCCTCCCAGAGCAGTCATCAATAGGCCCACCCCTGGGAATGCATTCCTTCCCCAGGGTTATTCCTTGCTGGGAAAAGAATTCAGCAATATTTCTCCTATTTGCTTTCTGCAAGAAGGAAAATATGACTCTATTCTGCCCAACCCTGCAGGCAGTGAGACCTTAAGGTTATCTTCCCTTGTTCCCTGAAGATTGCTGTTGTTCTGTTCTTTTTCAAGGTGCCCTGATTTCATATTGTTCAAACACACATTTTACAAACAATTTGTACAGTTAATGCAATCATCACAGGGTCCTGAGGCAACATACATCCTCAGCTTACAAAGATGACGGGATTAAGAGATTAAAGTAAAGACAGGCATAGGAAATTATAAGAGTATTGATTGGGGAAGTGATAAATGTGCAGGAAGTCTTCACAATTTATATTCAGAGACTGCAGTAAAGACAGGCATAAGAAATTATAAAAGTATTAATTTGGGGAACTGATAAATGTCCATGAAATCTTCACAATTTATGTTCTTCTGCCACAGCTTCAGCCGGTCCCTGCATTCGGGGTCCCTGACTTCCTGCAACAGACACCTTGATATCTCCCTTCTCCTTCCCCATTCTGTCCAATCTCATCTGTTTATTTGGC